CTAAGCAACATCTGGGGGCCGAAAGAGTCAAAAGAGCTGATAGCTTTTGGCAATGATCCACCTAACCCTTTACTGACTAGGTTCGAGAGGCAACAAGAAACGTCCTGAAAACGGGTTAAAGAAGGAGCTGCTCAGAGACCAAACATTACTAAATATTTTTTCCTTTTTTGGGTTGGTGCTCTAGATCACCACTTCCTGGAGATTATATTCTAAACTTGCCGTGATGGATGCGAGGTCCGCGTGCCCACGAGCTCCAGCGGAACCCAGATGTCATCCTGAGGGAGGGACTCTGCTTTTACCTTGCTATTTTAAGCATCGAGTTTATAATAATGGATGGGAGAGAAAGCAATGGGGCAGGAGCAGCATGAGAATGGCCTGGGTGGGCGGGGCTGCTGGGTCTCCCCCTGGAGAACTCAGGGATCCATCCTGTCAAGTGTGAGACCTCAGCCAGCCTCCACTCTGCTTTATCCTGCAGGAGCTGACACCTCTTGGTGTTTGTCTCAATTTGTTTCTGTTTTACTTTGTTCTTTGACCCAGGGACTGACTGAAGGTCTTTCTTAAGGAGCGGGAGGTAAAGGAAAGGAAGTAGAGATATTTCTGATGCAACTCTGGAATACTGTGGCCCTAGAATCCTATGGGATGGGTCCCTCAGGTCTGTGGTTTGCTGTCATTAGGAGGAGTTCAGGATTTCAGGGAGTCCTAGGGTTGGAGAAAGCCCCTGAAGTAGGTTAGAAATCTTATGACCCTTGCCACAGCCTTTGATGAGACTCTCCCAGGAAGGGGAGCTCGCTACTTTAAAGAGCAGCCCATTTCATGTTCTGATGGTTCCAACTACTAGAAAGCTTTTCCTTGTCTTGATCTCACCTTTCTGTCACTGGCCATGCATCTACCCTTTGGAGACAATAGAACTGCGTGAATGGCTTTCAGGTATCTGCAAATAGATTTTATTTCTTCCTGTACCAGCTCTTTTCCAGGCTAAAGGTCATTAGTTCTTTTTTTATGACTTTTTTATGTGAACGACTTTTAAAGTCTTTATTGAATTTGTTAAAATATTGTTTCTGGTTTTTGTTTTGCTTTGGCCACTAGGCTTGTGGGATCTTAACTCCCTGACCAAGGATCAAACATGCACCCTTTGCATGGAAGGTGAAGTCTGAATCATTGAACCACCAAGGTCCCTTTAATTCTTTAAACATAAATTATTGTCCTGCTTCCCCTTTTTTGAATATACCCCGCATTGTCTGAATCTCTCTTAGCATGCAGAGCACGATACACTTCATGTAGATTAAGGCAAAAGAAAAGTGAAACTGTTACCTCCCCTGTTTTGAAAACTATACTGTTAAGACAGCCTGGAGACATGCACACACATGGCATATCATTTAAAAAGCTTTCTTGGGACATGTAGTCCATTTTGCGGGTAGAACTGAGCCATGTGGATATTTTTATGCTGCCCTCAACTCTGCTACTCTATACTTTACCCAGCACTACATTGTCCCTCGGCTTCCCGGGCGGCTCAGATGGTAAAGAATCCACCTGCAACGTGGGAGACCTGGGTTCAATCCCTGGGTTGGGAAGATCCCCTGAGGAGGGCATAGAAACACACTCCAATATTCTTGCCTGGAGAATCCCCATGGACAGAGGAGCCTGGCGGGCTATAGTCTGTGGGGTCGTAAAGAATCGGACATGACTAAGCGACTAAGCACAGCATAGCACTGCTGTCCCTGCTGCTGAAATCCAAGTCGAGGTGATAGAAATTCATCACAGAGCTCACCTTTGGGCAAACCTGTTGCTCAATTTACTTATACAGAAACCATTTGGGCTGGGAGACACAGCATACCCTGGTCCCATAGCTCTTGTTCCCAAAAGTCAGGTTAAATCTGTCCTCTTGGCAATGACCCACCTTCCTGTCTCACCTCCTCCAGCTATTCTGTTCAGAGAAATTTCATCAGCATTTCAGTATTTATGGCTCAGTCTAAACACCATTGCTAATGTGAAATCTTCCTTAAAATGGTATTCCACTCATCCCAATTTCCCGAGTTAGGGACCCTTTTCTGGGAAAGCATCTCACTTTCAAAGGGTTTACCCTCTTTATCTTGTTTTCTGGCTGTCTCCCCCCACAGGATTCCATGCTCCTTTTGGGCCAAGACCACGTCTTCATCTTCATGGTAGAGTAGATGCGAGTGGAGTGTTCGTGGTGAAGGAGGTCAGCTCACAGGTCCTGTACTTGAGATTTCTTGAGCCGACCAGCAGGGGTCACCCCAACTGTTTCAGAGTTGAATGGGGTTCCCTGTGCACGGTAGAGAAAGGCAGAAGTCAAGATGGTGATCACAAGGACTAAAACTCCCAGAGATAAAGTTCCCCAATTCTTAAAATACAAGGCAACATGGATTTCTGGGTATCTGTGACCAAAAGATACCTGTGGTATCGTGATCTGGGTATCTGTGATCCCCTTGCCTGACTCAGGAAGCTCGGCTGAGTTGTGTGTTGGGTGGGGGGGGGCGTCAGTAAGAGCTGCGGTTGATGCCACATCTGAGCCACCCCTTAGCACAGTGACTCTAGTGCCTTCCTGAGCCCTTTCTTGGGACAGGTGGGACAAGAAGAACTCCTGGTGTTGTGGGTGGTGGCAGGGCTTTCTGGCTCCTCCTCCTCTAGTCTCCAGCAGACAGCACCTTGCAGGACCTGGCACATAGTAAGCACTCAGTAAATAACAGTGTTTTCCGTTTCCCCTGTGTGTCCCAGCAGCTCCTGACTGTGGCCTTCGCCAGGGTCTGAGGATGACATCTGCCTCTGGTGGTTTTTATCTGCTGTCCCCCAGAGCAGCTCCTTCAAGGAACCCCTGAAGTTGTATAATCAGACTGGTTGTTGGTTCTTTGGGTCTCTGGAGGCGTTCCTCACCCTCCAGGGCAGGGGGCCTGAAGGGGTTTAGGGATGAGAAGAGGCCAGGTAGAGGTTCCTGGGCTCAAGCCAAGCTTCTGGACCGCAGACCAGCATGCAGGTGGCCTCTGTAAGCACCTACTCCATGCTGAGTGAGCTTTCTTTTCATCTTGGGACTATTCTGCATGGGAGGCATTCTGTCTTTGTTCCCTGATGAGGAAACCAAGGCTCAGAGGTGAAGCCAGGCTTCAAGGCTAAGCAGCCGGTGAGGGGCAGAGTGGAGCCTCAAATCTAGATATCTGGTTCCCAGCCTGTGTTCCTTCTACCTTGCTGTCCTGCCTCTCCAGATGGAGACCTGAGATGACTGGTCCCCTTTTCTAAGAGGAATCAGAGGAGCCAGACCCATTGACTCAGGTTTATTGCCAGATCTTGGTCCTACACCTCTTAACAGCAAGGAAATATGAAAGTGCAGTTAGTACTTACAAGTAACAGTAGTTAGTAGTTAAAAGTAAACCCAACTCAAACTGGTTTAAACACTCTGAGACTTAATTCTTTGTGTAACTGGATAATTAAGAAATAGTTTCAGCTGCAGGTGAGCTTTGACCAGGGCTCCAGCTCTGTTTCTCTGCAGATCTCCTGGCTCTGCTTTCCTCTAGGTGTCAAGTTTTTTCCTCAGTCTGGCCTTCCTCATGGAGGCAAAATGGCATCCATAGCACCAGACCTGCACACTCCACCACCCAGAGCAAAAGAGAGCATCTGGTTCCCAGAACACTGCCGCGTGCTTCTTGGCTTATTCTGGATCTATTGTCTAGCCTTGAGCCAATCACTGGTGAGATGGATGAGATTATGCTGACTGGGGTCAACCCCAACCAGGTGTCAAGGCTGCTACCCCATGGGGGAGGGTTCAGTTCAGTTCAGTTACTCAGTGATGTCCAACTCTTTGTGACCCCATAAACTGCAGCACGCCAGGCTTTCCTGCCCATCACCAACTCCAGGAGCTTGCTCAAACTCATGTCCATCAAGTCAGTGATGGCATCCAACCATCTCATCCTCTGTCACCCGCCTTCTCCTCCTGCCTTCAATCTTTTCCAGCATCAGGGCCTTTTCCAATGAATCAGTTCTTCGCATCAGGTGGCCAAAGTATTGGAGTTTCAGCTTCAGCATCATTCCTTCCAACAAATATTCAGGACTGATTTCCTTTACAATTGACTGGTTTGATCTCCTTGCAGTCCAAGAGACTCTCAAGAGTCTTCTCCAACACCGCAGTTCAAAAGCATCCATTCTTCGGTGCTCAACTTTCTTTATTTTTTTTCTTTCTTTTCTTTTCAATTTATTTTTTCAGAGAGCTGAAGGAAAAGGGGAGGGCTAAGTGTGGCTTTGGGGCAGCAACACAAGGTTGCTGGTGTTGTGCACTGCACAAGGCACACGAGATCCACCCTGGCTGAGCCTCCAGAATCATGACTGTAGCAGAGTCCTGGCAGGTCCAGTGAGGGCTGTTCCTCAACTGAGGGTCAAAATTGCTGCTGAAGGGCATGAGGTGAGGCATGGGGCAGGAAGTCAGGAGACACCATCCCTTTCTCCTCCTGCATCTAACCAAGCAAGGTTGTAAGATATAGTGGCCACCAAATCAGGAAGATCTTGATTCAAATGGTTGGTCTTTGTATGATTTGGGCAAGTGGCTTCCACTCTCCAAATAGTTCTCTTATCTATAAAATGCAAATAGTAATGCCTACATCGTGAGGATTAAATTAGGTGATGTTTGTAATGTTCCTAGATAATGCCTAACACCCAGTAGCTACTCAATAAATGGCTGACAAACACAAGTCTGGTTCCCATTGGAGTGTCTTCCATCGGTTATGGCTTCGAGTAGTTCAAAGCATCCTTCTGGGATGGCTGTTTCCTGTACAGCCTAAATTAGATGCAAAATCTCTAAGGTCGCCTCTGACTTTGTAAACAGAGCAAAAGAGCAGGAGGAAATGCAATTCCAAATGCCCTCTGCTCGCCTATTTTAGCCCTTGTTGATGCAAACTCAAGCAGGCGCTCTCTGCGGTTTGTGGCTCCTGGAAACGGGACCCGGCATGGGTCAGGGATGGGACTGGATTTGACTTGTCCTTTTGGCGTCTCCTCAGCCTGTGGAGCCCAGGCCTCTTGGAGCATCTTTGGGGCTGACGCAGCGGAGGTTCCGGGAGCACGCAGTCACTCCCGCCAGGAGGCTGCCATGCCCCACATTCCCGAGGACGAGGAGCCCCCCGGAGAGCCACAGGCAGCCCCGAGCCCCGCCGGCCAAGTAAGTGCCCCCTCCCTCCCTGCAGCTTGCCTGGCCGGACCACGCCAAGTGCCCTGGGCTGAGGCCGTAGGGTGTGCCACCAGCCTTTGCAGGCGGCAGTGGGCCTGGGGAAGGTGTGTGGCTTCCACACCAAGGAATAAACTATCCAAAGGTCATTGAGTTGGTCCCCACATACCCTGAGAGTGGAACCTCCTAGGCTGTGTCTGACTGAGGTCTCCTGGGAAGTCACACTGCCCTCCTAGGATGGAGAGATACCTGGAGGAGAACCACCAGCATGGAGGGCCTTGTCCTGTCAGGGCTGTGGGCACCAGCATAAGGTCACTTAAACTGAATCCTCTTAAAATGAAGATCAAAGTTTCTTAGTAAATAGTGAAAAAGGGTGTCAGTAAGATTTTATTATAAAAAAAAGGAAATGAAGAGAGTAAATTGAAAGGTTTCATTGAGTTTGGACTGTACAAATGATATTGTGAAGATAAATTTTTAATCAAACATATCACAAAATATAGCTTATATGCTAATTTTTAGAAAGAACAGAGAATTAATCAAGTATGTTGATTTTTGTATTACATATTTTTTATGCCAATGAAGTGATCTGTTCACATGCTGTCACAACCTTTACGTTTTACTTTATAGCACCTTCATTAAGAGATTCTGCTTGTTTGATATTTAAGGGCTTCATTCATTTTCCAAAGGACCTCTTTCAATCCCTCAATATTCCCTCATGAATAACCTATCTTTCCATCATCCTCATAATTATGAATTCATTTGTTAACTGGTCCAACTCCATGAGCTCCTCATTGATCTAAGATCTTGTACGTGAAGTTCTCCGACATGGTGTTTTGAACTTGATGAACTTTGCAGTTGGTTTGCACTGAACTTATACATCCTGTTGTATCTGACAGTTCTCCAAATGTCCCTGAGACCGAGGGAGAGACACTCGTTAAGTGAGCGAAGGTTATATGAGCTGGCATTAATTTGATACATTTGAAAAGTGGGCAGATTCTAAGTGAATAATTTCATGTTATATTGACATTTGTTTTCTTTTCACATCGTAACTGTGGGAACTACGATAATAAATACTTAGCAAGGAACAGCCTGTTGTATCCCCACATCCCAAGCTCATGGGACTGAGATGCTGTAGAACTTGGCAACCTTGGAGAGCCCTTGAGTTTCTAAATGACAGTGAGCCCAGCCCCCGTGCCCTTGGCCGTAGGCACAGCTCAGGGCTTTACTGAGCCCCACTCCCAGGAGTGTCCTGGGCTATGGTGGGTGATGCTCTCAGCTGCTTTCAGTGGCTCCAAACTGTACTTCCACTCCTCCGCAGGTGACATCTAGCCTTCCCCGAACTGTGTGCTCTGCTGCTCCTAATCACGTGTGGACAGTTCCCCCAAAGTGTTACTAACAGTGACTGTAAGGTTTACCCAACAAAAATTTTGCTAATCTACTGAAATCTTGGAGTGTGAAGAAGGGAAGTACAACACAGAGGAAAACACTTGTGTGTGTGTGTGTGTGTGTGTGTGTGTGTGTGTGCTCAGCCATGTCCAACTCCTTTGTGACCCTGGACTGTAGCCTACCAGGCTCCTCTGTCCGTGGAATTTTCCAGGCAAGAATACTGGAGCAGGTTGCCGTTTCTTCCTCCAGGGACTCTTCCTGACCCAGGGATCGAACCCTTATTGCCTGCATCTCCTTCATTGGCAGGCAGATTCTTTACCACTGAGCCACCTCGAAAGCTAGACTAAGACACATCTGGATTCCAATGTCACTGCCCCCTATCCCCAGGTCACTCCCTTCCCCAGGTTCTATCCGCTTAGCATCTCCACCCCTCAGCCCTGGATCAGTTCTTGCTGTGGTCATCCTTGACCCTGTCCACTTTACTCACAATAATAGTGCCCTTCAGACAGGTTCTGATGCAAAATCTAGCTCCCAAATCCTGGGCAACTCTCCTGAACAGCTGCCATGCCCTGCTCCCCAAGTATTCAAGTGTTCCTAGAAAATAAATTAGCGAAAGATGGGCAAAGACACAGCTCCATCCTCAGAGAAGAGATCCTTTTCACATTGAGTTCAGTGCCTCTTGGTTTCAAATCTCTCTAATTAAAAGACACTTCAAACCTCCACCAAGATGCAAGCCAGACAGCACAAAAGCCTGCTGGCCTTTTCCCCCATCATGGCTTCAAACCACACATAAGTGTAACTTCACTGGGTCAGAGGTGAGGGTGAATTTCTAGGGGTAACTAAGCAGTGAGAGTGTGCCAGGAGTTCACCATACAGCTGAGGGTCAGAGAGCCCCAGCGGAGCAGCAGAAACTGCAGATTCCAGCCCCCACAAAATCACTTTCCCGAATCAGACTTCTATAACGTGGACCCTGGGCCCTCAGGGTCTCTGAAGGTCCTCCATGTGCTCATGGGAAGATAAGAAAATAGAGAGACTGTCTGTGGGCCTCAATAGCCTCTGCCAGAGTCTATCAGAAGGACCCATGAGGAACCCAATGAGCTGGAGCCAGGGTGCCCGGATCCTATGGGAGGCCCTTTAGCACAGGATTTCAGAACATGGACTCTGGAGTGAGGCCATCCTGGGCTGAAGTCATAGCTCTTCCACATGCTGGTCAAGAGACCTGATGTTGAGTCTGTTAACTTTTCCATACCTCTGGTTCCTCATCTCTTCCCCAGAGTGAGTGTTAGTGGCTGCCTCTAGGACTCTGTTCAGCCCAGCCCTTGAGGGCCTTCTTTGGTCTGAGGGACTGTGGAGCTGGGACAGGTTAGACCCCATGCTGAAGGCCACATCAGATCGAGTATCCTTTTATTCTCTGCCCTGACTGACAGGCCCTGGGCCTCCCTGAGTCCTCCAGAAGCCCACAGGCATCCTAAGTAAAGAGTATCTTCCTCTGCAGTGCCCATCAGACAACCCACATGGGGCTTCTCCGGCAGCCACAGCCTCAGGAGACAGTTAGGTCTTGAGAGTTAGACTGGAGCCTTGGGGGCTGGAGCCTGAGTCGCTCAGAGCAGCATAGGAAGCAAGGGGAAGCAAGGTTGGCCAGGAGGACTGGGCTGGAACCCCTGGTGCCATGTGAATTCCCACTCTGTGAAACAGGGCAGAAAACAGACCATCCTTCTGAGTTTATGGTTCCCTGGGGTCCGGCCCTACTTCTGGTTCCTCAGGCCCCAGCCCCCACTTCTCATTGCTGACACGAGCACTAGCTGAGGCCTTCTCACACAAAAACACAAAAGATCCTGTTTTTCTTTCTGCTCACGCACACATACACACACACACACACACACACAAACACACTCCTAAGCACACGAACACTCGTATACATGCCAGACCTAAACACGCTTTCACACACACACAGACTTGGACAGATAGACAGAGAGATATACTGTTTAAGATCCCAAGCAGAAGCTATAATCAAAATGCACAAAGGACTAAAGCCTCCTGATGATGCCCTCTGCTGAGGCTGTGTGAGCAGTGTTTCCTGGGTTGGCCTTTGAACAGGGCAGGGCCGACAGGGATGAGCTGATAGCCAAGAGGCTCTGGCAGGAACAGAAGCTGTGAGGATGCGAGCCCGGGACCTTATGGGATCACAGACTGACAGAGCGGGAAGGGATCTCAGGGCACATCTAAGCGCTTCCTCTAAAGACAGGCAAAATTCTGTCTGGTCTAAGTCACCTGGGAGCTTGTTAACACTGGATTCCTCTGCCAACCTACACCTGCTGGACCAAAGTCTCTTGGGGAGGACCTGTGCAGTGGTTGGCAGCTCTGCTTCATGGTCAGGCTGGAGCCTGCCTCCCCCAACTCCCTCAGTTCTGTCCTCACAGCAGCCTGTTGTGGGTAAAGACCCACAGACGCATGAAGGAGGTTTCTGCGTCTTCCTAGAGCCTCTCTGCCTCCAGTTCCTCCAGGCTTTGATGCCATGGCACATTTCAGAGCCTCCTCCAACCCCTCCCCACACATACCAACCTGTCTCTGCCTCACTGTGGGGCACCAGACCTGGCCCCAGGCCCTAGAGGCAGTGTAACCAGGACATCAGCTCTTTCCAGGCCTGTGACCAACAGCCATATTAGCACCTCCACTCACTGGAACTGCATAGCCTCCTCAGAGGGGCCTTACAAACCTCAAAGTATGGAGACATCATATTAACTATAAGAGCCCAGTTCTCACTGGATCTCACCCCTATCCCCCTCCAGGGGCTTTGGAAGGCCCCAGGGACAGGTCAGTGTGAGCTCATAAGCTAACCACTCCCTTACCCCACTTCTCCATTATCCATAAAGCCACTAATAACAGCTAACCTTGTGCTAACTAACAGCTAACTCTTTTCCTTGTTGTTTGGCCACTAAGTTGTGTCTGACTCTTTGCAACCCATGGACTGCAGCACACCAAGCTTCTCTGTCCTTCATTATCTCCTGGAGTCTGCTCGGATTTATGTCCATTGAGCCAGTGATGCTATCCAACCATCTCATTCTCTGCCACCTCTTCTCTTTGGCCTTACATCTTTCCCAGCATCGGGGTCTTCTCCAATGAATCCACCCTTTGTATCAGGTGACCAACGTACTGGAGCTTCAACTTCAGCATCAGTCTTTCCAAGGAATATTCAGGGTTGATTTCCTTTAGGGTTGACTGGTTTGATCTCCTTGCTGTCCAAGGGACTCTCAAGAGTTTCTCCAGCACCACAATTCCAAAGCACTGATTCCTTGGCACTCAGTCTTCTTTATGGTCCAGCTTTCAAATCCATACATGACTCCTGGAAAAACCATAGCTTTGACCATATGGACCTTGTTGGGGTTACTACTCTGTTAACTCACTTAACTTTCAAGCCACCTTATGAGGTAGGTATCATCAGTCCCATCTCATAGCTGAGCAAACTGAGGCTCAGAGTAGTTAAGTACCTTCCTCCAGGGTCACACAGCTTGTAAGTGAAAGGCCCAGGATTCAACCCAGGCAGCCTGGCCCCAGAGCCCACACTCTTAGTCTATGCCCTGCACTGAGCACTGTCAGCTTTGGCACTG